GTGTCCTTTAAAGGCCCTTCTCTCCTGGATTCAGTCTGCATGCCTACCTCTAGGGGGATGGTGGGGAAAAAAAAAACAGAAAGGTGACTGGAGCTGGCCATGCCCTCCTTGCTTTTCACAGAGACCTGGGATCCCAGGAACACCTTGGGCCAGTGGAGCAGGGGGAGCAGGTCACTCATTAACTTGTGGCTGAATGGGTCAGAGGGTAGCCACCTGGGGCAGATGCAAGCATGGGGAGGGACTAGAGAACAAACAGCACAAAAGCCCATGCCAAAGGAGAACCCAAACTGATCCAAGCTATTAGAATATTTAGTGACTAGGCCTGGATGAACTTGAAGCCAGTCTTCCTTAACCCTGTGGATAAGAAATAAGGTCTTTGTAGGACACAGTGGTGCATGCTTGTAATTCCAGCAGCTAGGGAGGCCGATGCAGGAGGATTGCAAGTTCAAAGCCAGCCTCAGCAATTTAGCGAGGCACTAAGCAACTTAGTGAGACCCTGTCTCTAAATAAAATATAAAATATGACTGGGGATGTGGTTCAGTGGTTGAGTGCTCCTCAATTCAATCCCTGGTACCAAAAAAAAAAAAGTAGTAAGGTCTTGAGTGGGCATGCATAACTGCACAGATGTAAGGGAGCCTGGGAGATCCTGAGACCATGCCACCTACACTGCCTGCTTTATAGACATGGAAATATAGGCCCAGAGAAAGCAACCATCTTCCCCAAAGTCATTCACAGAGTGGCAGAACCAGAAGCGGAGTTTTCTGATGTTGTAGTTGGTCCAACCAGGGTTCATTAAATGTTGGTTCCTTCTCTTCCCACTGAAACTGTAGAAAGCTGCTTGTGGTCTGGAGCTTTCTAAATTGGGTCTGGGTTCTCGCCCATCCCTTCCCAACTCCTACTGCTTCTCTGGATACAGGCTCTCTGAGGAAATCATCCTCCACTACAGAGGCCCTCAACTTCTCAGTCCAGTATGGAGGGACTCACAGCTGTGCTCAAAACACTCATACACGCTCACACTAACTCACCTAGCAACAGCACACCCTTTGAGTGGGCATTTCTTGCTCTTTCAGACTTTCAAATTGGGATCAGAGGATCTGTTGCTTCTGGAAACACCCCTCTAATATGCTTCTGACACTGATGCTTAACTCCTCACCCCACTGGTGCCCATACAAATCCCTACTGATTCAACTACCCTGCCTTTCTCAGGACCATCCAACCTGACCATGTGTCCTTCAATCCATGTGGATAACTATTTCTATTTGCCTAAGTAAAGGACAAAGGGGTAGAATTTTAATTGGCCCAAGAAGTTCCTGTGACTGAATGTTTGTCAATGTCCCCTCAAGGGGAAGTTTGGTGTTTAGGATGGGGTCCCTTTAAGGCCTGGGGTGGACAGGGAGTTAGTTAATGTCTATCCCCTAGAGGTGACTTTCCAAGGTGGTTATTATGTGGCTCAATCATTAACCAAGCAGTGGCAGGACCCCAAGCTTGCTGGAAAGGGGCCACTCCTTTCCCAAGGACAGCCCAAGAGCAGGAGGCTGCAGCCAGGGAGAAAATTCCTGGGGTCTTTCTGTCCCTTTCTGATAGGCTGCGGTGGAGTGTAAGGGGCAGAAGCCTGTATTGAGGAAAGCTCTCCCTCAGCCCACACTGGGGTGGAGGAGGGCTGGCCCGGAAATGGAGGAAGTCAGCACACCCTTACTGGGGCGGGCGGGAAAAGAGAGACAGTGAGGGTTTTTATCATGAATGAGAGAGGAAGCTCCAAGCTGGGCCTTGGTGATTAGATGACAAGCTGGAAAAGACGCTCATCCTGAATGCATCCTGTTTTGCTCTGAACTGGCCTCAGGGGCCAGGGGCCGGGGAGGGGCCTGGGTGGAGAGCAGCCTCCCAGGAATTCTCCCAGGCCTGCTAACCTCAAGCTCCTGGGTGGCCCTGGAACTGGGGAGGCAAGTGGGAGTCAGAACTCTCATTTACCACCAGAGAAACAGAGGTGTTGAGTTTCTGGGAGAAGTTTCCACAGGTCAGCCTAGAGATGGGGAGTCCCAGAGGCAGTTAACATCTGCCACCAAGCTGCCGCCACACTAGCAGTGTGGCATCTGTAAAATGAGGGACTAGGGCTCCATAATCCCCTCTAGCTTGGACTTTTAATGGGCTTTGCTTCCAAGGTTCAGCTCAAATGTCACTGCCTCTGTCAGTCACCTTCCCCTCAGTCAAAAGCAATCGCTCCCTGGACTGAACTCCCAGGGCAAAAATCTCCTCAACAACTGGAAATAGGAACACTGATCAGACATTTGATAATATTAAGGGACTGTTCTTGGTGTGATAATGATAGTGTGGTTATTTTTTTTTGATGATATATTTTTTAGAGATATATATTGAAATATTTTTAGATGAATTGATAAGGTATCTGGGATTTGTTTCAAAATAAAAAGAAAGGGGGTGAAGTAGGTGGGGATACCTGAGGCCTTATTACACTAATTGTCTCTCTTTGGGTATATATTAATGGTTCTTTATAATTTCTTTTATTTTTAATTTTTTTTAGTTATAGATAAACACCATTAATTAATTAATTAATTAATTAATTAATTTTTTATGTGGTGCTGAGGATTGAACCCAGTGCCTCACACACACTAGGCAAGCACTCTACCAATAAGCCACAACCTCATACCCTCTTCATAATTTCTTTAAAAGCCTTCACTGAGGTAAAGAATTTTAGTGGGCCGTGTATTACTCAGACCACTAACCCTCAAACTAGATGAAAGATTCACTGAAGGGGGTTGTAATTCTGTGATCGCCACAAGACCTGGCACCACACCTAAACTTAATGATTAATAATTTGTAAAAGTACTTGGTAGTTTACAAAGTTCATAGCTGTGTATCCACTGGTTTAACTCACTGAAGGGGAAAAAGTGGAGAGAAACTGAGTCTGAGGTTGAGGAGAGTGGCAGAGACTGGATCTAAATCTCCATATTGCCAATTCCCAACCTCTGCTCTATGCCACCTTGGGACTCTGAAGGAACTTAACATTCAGTTTTCTAATTCTTTATGCAGTTGAGGTAAGCAGGAACAGCAACTATTGGGAATGGAAGTTCCCAACATGGAGGGCTGCACAAAAAGAAACTCAACACAAAAATACGGCAATCTAAACTTTTGACAAGGGCCCAGACTGTGGCCTCCAGTCCACTGATTTGTATCAACTAAGACCTTCCCTTGAAATGCATGTATGCTCACACACACACACACACATACACACACACCAAGAACCCAAGTCACAGATGAACAGAACTTTAATAAATACTTTACCTCAACAACTGTGTGCCCAACTACCCTCCATGGGGTCATGGGGTCGGGGAGAATATAAAACTCACTGAGACCTTGAGGAGTTCATACTTTCCACCCCCAAATCCTGGCCTCTTTTCCATTCCTGTCCCCATTTTGTCTGCTGAGCAGCCTCCCCAAGGCCCAAGGCCATGATGCTTAATTCTACCCAAACTGGAAGCCCAAGAAAAAGTTTTCTCTCTCTTACTCAAGCCCAAATCAACTCCTTATTCCAGCAAGACCCCTTGCCTCACCTTCCCCAAGAAGATGAATGAGTGCATAGCCTGCCTTTGTTAAACCTGCCATCCACCAAACCCAAATTTTCCATGGCTAGAACAAGGAGTTCCAGAACTTGTTCCACTGCATTGGCAGCTACAATAGCATCCCAACTAGATACCATCCCTTCCTCCTTTTGTTGACTTTCTTGCTTTTGTGTCCCCACTACTATCCCTAAACCTGGCCCCAAGAGTCTTCTGCTCCCCTCCAATTTGTAATCCCAGCAATGGATTTTTAAAAATTTAAGAAGACATATAGAGGGTCAAAGTCTAGGTCTCTTAGTGCCACTTTCTTTTTTTCCTCTTCTTGAACTCAGGAGGTGTTAAGGTTTCACAAGCAAGGCCCTACAATTCTCTTGCAAGACTCACTGCCTAACCACAGCACTCATACAGAGTTACCCAGCCCCTTTGTGCACCTTTGTCTCCTCTGATTGTTTTTTAACACCCCCCAATATCATCTCCTGGAAGCTGCTCCCAAAGGCACAGGGGAGTTGTAAGATGCACAGTGAGGTTCCAAATATTTCTCCAAGAGTTGCTTAAGGTATGGAAAAAAGGCATTAGAACCAGGGAGACAAGACTCTCTCCAGTGTGGCATTTCCTAGCCCTAACCATAGATGTTCAGGGAGCAGAAATTCCAAATCCAGAACCTGGATGTAAGGCCAAATCTCTGAAATGAAGACCAGTTTAGTGTGTCTAGCTAAATGGCAGTTACAGTTTTAGGGCAAAAAAGTTTCACCCACCCACTCCCAAACACACCCCTCCCCATCATGGTCTTGCACTCCACCAGCCACCCAGAAACTACTTTCAGCCTTCTGTTTTGGGGATGCCTTCCCTTCCATTCCCAGACAAGTTTTGTCCCTCCTTCATTCCAGGAGGATTAAAGTGGGGGTGGTCTCAGATAGCAAGGATACAGATGGTGAGGGGAGACTGCACCCTTAGACTGGGGGTGGGAACTGGTGGCTCAGGAAGATTTAGGGTTTGAAAATAGTCCTGGGTGTGATTTACTGCCCTTTCCTCCCCAGCAGCACTGGGGAGGAGAAACCTCCAGAGCTTACTCTCTGGGGTCCCCAACCTCAGGGACCCAGGGCTTTAGAAGGAAACACCTACCTCTCCCCACAGTCAGTATGGCCACTGTCTTGCACACCACCCCCATACGCACTAGTTTTCCAGCTGGCTTAGCTGCATAACCAACGCAAAACTCAAACTGCATAGCTCCTGTCACCCCAAGCGTCCCAGAGACAACCCTTTACCTGCCAGTTAGAAGACGGGCCCCAGGGTAACCAAGTAACCAAGTGTCAGCAGAAGAGACTGCGCCCTTTAAATATTGAAATCCAGCTGCCATCTGAGGTTCAGTCCAATACACTTAAGTTCACAGAAGTAGTACGACTCGCCTAAGGTCACATAAACTGGCTGAACCCCAGTTTCCCGAGTGATAATTCATTGCTCAACTTCAACAAGTGTTGGGAGAAGAGACAACCTCTGACTATCTAATTTGGAACTTTCTAAAACTTCCACGGAGAGGCCTTTCTTCAGAAGTCCTCTCATCTACACGCATTTCGGTCTTCATGCGGGAGCTGAGCCCTAGAAAGACGCGACCAATCCAGAAGTTTTCCCTTGGTCCCTAACACCACGTTGACACGAAGAAACTCCTAGGCATTTCTCAGAAACGAAGGCAGTGAGAGACTGGCAGACGGGAAAGTCCATCTGCCGAGTATGGCTTCCTGGAAATGCCCTCGAAAGCAGATGAAGGAGAAGCGGGTAGGAGACACAGCGTGACTTGGCCGCGGAGCCCAAAGCCCCGGCACCCCGGCCCTGCCGCACACCCCTCTGAAGCCTCCGAGCAAGGGCTCCCTGCTCCACCCAGGCCCACTCGCTGGGCTTCTCTGGCCGACAGTGTGGCCAGTGCTCTCAGGGGCCCCCCCCCCCCCCCCCCGATTTCGTTAACTCTGAACCCAAATCTTGGAGATAACCGGGTTCGGCCTGTTTTCTCCCGGTTTCCTATGTGCGTCGCCCCCGTGGAACCGCTAGGAGAGGGGCCCGGCCGGAGCGCGCCAGAGAGATTAGGCGGGAGGAGGGAACCAAGGCACCCCCTTCCTCTACCGTCGCCCCAACTCTTACCTGGAAACCGAGTCCACCTCTTTGGCTTCTGCCCGACACAACGACAGGCGAGCACAGGCGGGACTGCTCCCTCCGGGGCACGCGAGAAGTCTGGAGTCGGGCGGGGGTAACGGTGCCAGCCAGAGGAGCAGCTGGCGCTGCTGCTTAGCCGTTGTCAACCCGAGTCCACTCTCCTCACAGGTGGGGAGGGAGAGGCTGCTAGTCCGGCAGTAGCGCCGCCCCGCCCACTTACAGGACCCTCAACCAATGAACGCGCAATCTGGCCCAGTAGCCTCCCCCAGAAAACCGCCCAAATTGGGGTGGGCGGGGCTCTGCTTGGCGGCTGCTCCAATCCCCACTCCGCTGCCTTTCCCTCAGGTCACACCGCGGGAGGGAGGAAGCACCAGCCCAAAGCCAAAGACCCAGGGTGAAGGAGCGAGTTGGTCAGACGCACAGATTAATATTTATTGAGTTCTAAATGTGTGCTGCACCGCGTGGGGGCTTCAAATACTTATACCACGTACACAAGAGGGTTCAGTGATTTGCTCAGGATAATTTATGGGGAGCCCAGAGGACGCCTTCAGTGAAATCTCAAAGGAGAACTAAATAATTCAATATTTGAGCAGGAAGTTGCCATCCCTACCTTGCTCAGGTCCCAGCATTCTGCAACTTCCCTGATAACACTACCCCTCTGTCGCCCCCCACTCAAGTTATCTTCATACAGAAATGCATGGAAATTTGGAGGAAACCGGCATTAATCATGGCAGGAGTGGGCTTCCAGTTCTGACAGCAAGTACCACCGGAAAGCCCAAATTCAGTAAGAAACCATGTTAGGATTTGATTTCTCTGTTGCTTTCCTCCCAAGATTCCAACGCAAGTTCACAGCTTCAATTTCACTGTTGAATTGAGGACTCCTGTTAGTCAGGGTTGGGAGTATTTAAATCCTCCTGAAGTCTATCCACTATTCCCCCACATTTACTATTACAAAAATTGAGGAGAAGTGACTCGCTCTAAGCAACTCAGCAAATCCATGCTATTGGTTATTTTCCCCACACCTAACAGATGGGAGAAATGAAGCTGAGGTTCTTAGAATGCAGGAACTGCAGCATCCATCAAATTTGCTTGCTAGATTATCCAACACAGATGAGAGCAAACATGATTTTCCAGATGGCAACTTTCTCAAATTCACCCATGACAATGACAGAACCTAGCTTAGTTCCAGATTCTCCCTCCTTCCTGGCCTTCAGTCTACTAAGTCTACTAAGTCAAATTGAAGTTCTCCTGCCCTTATGAGATTCAGAGGTGCAACAATGAAGAGAGGCTACTGCCTGCGCCTAGCCCTTTGTTACTCTCAAAGGCAGGGCTGTAGTTGGTATCCTCTGGCAATTTGTTCAAGGTGAGCCATCTTGAAGGTGGATGAGGCCTGAATACAAGAACTCACTTCTGGAAACAAAATCCTACCCAGAGTCAGGAATCCTTATGATGGTTGGGAAGGGATATGACCTCCTTCCTGAGGCTGGACTGTAATAATTGTAAGCATCCCTAAGGTCCTAACTTGAAGCCAAACATATCTTGCTTATGAACAAATGCTAGAAAGGACGTAAAAGTAGGGATCCCCACCATGATCCTATCTCCTCCTCAAGGGGAAGAAACCATGTCAGAGCTGATTTCATTTACCCCATTGCCTACAGTGGTTTCTCAGTAATGTTTGCTAGTGGTTGAATAAATATTGAAAGATATGAAGAAATTAAAATCCTATGAAAAATAAGCAAACCCAACTTATCTTTCAGTAGTTACATATAACTGAATCAGGATGAATTCTGAGACATCAGTTATTTTTTTAAAAGACACTCAAACTAGAAAACTACAAAAGTATAAAATATACCAAAAATTACAAAAATTGGTGGGCATGGTGGCTCACATCCATAATGCCAGCTACACAGGTGCCTGAGGCAGGAGAATCAATAGTTCAAGGCCAGCCTGGACAACTTAGTGAGACCATGTCTCAAAATTAAAAAAAAAAAAGGTTGGGGATATAGCTTAGTGGTAAAATGGGACAGGAGGTACAAAACTACAAAAGGAACACTACAAAAAAACCCAGAAACTGCTATAAATAAATAGAACAAGAACTTCACAGTATCTGGCATAGAGTAAGCATTCAATAAAAATATTTCTTTGAATGACTGAATGAAAACAATAGTCAAGGAAAGCTACAATCCTAATATTTTCCATGTACAATATGACATTTTGAAATAGTCCAAGCAATATCAGGGCTATTTCCTTGGTTCTTCTTTTTTTTAATCTTAAATCTCCCTCATCTTTCAGCTTCAAAAAGGCAAGGAGAGCTCAACCTCTTCAGAAGGGCAAAGACAGCTGAGCCCCTTCAATACTGCCAGCCCTGGCTCCCCACTTCAGCCTGACTCTGTCCTGAATGGAATGGATAATCAGTAATAGTGCTTGGAGTGGATGAAGAAATGGTGCCTTCTGGGATGTAGACTGAGCAGCTCTACAGATAACTGGAGCTTTAGGTTCTTGGCTTCCCTTTTCCCACAAGTTCTCACTCTTGCTTGTGTTTTTTAATTTTATTTTTTGTAGTTGTTGATGGACAGCATGCCTTAATTCGTTTTTATTTTTATGTAATGCTGAGGATCAAACCCAGTGCCTCACATGTGTTAGGCAAGCGTTCTGCCACTGAGCTATAGCCCCAGCTCTTGCTTGTGTTTTATAGTCCACCCCTGCTACACTGGATGACAGCTCAGGGAAATGTAGTGTATGAAGCAGGCTAAAGGCTGGCAAAAAAAAAAAAAGTGGTTGTGTATGTGTTTCTATGCCTGTGGTATGGAACTTCCTTCATTCTTATCACTACCAGAGCCCAGCTGTATAGGAGAGTGTAACGGACTCCAGAGCCAGACACCGTGGTACAAACCCCACCTCTAGCTCTGCGGCTCTGTGGTTTCATATCCTCATCTGTACACTATAGATGATAATCACTGTACTGTGGCTGTGGAACAGAGCTACGGGGCTAAAAATCACTTAAAATGATGGCTGCCACATAGCAGGTTCTCATAAGTGCCAGATATGGAGACAGAGGCCTGAGAAATGGTGGAAAGAGCGTTGGATTAGAAAGAAGAGCTGGATGTTAGTCCTAGTTATGCTTTCTGACCAAGTCCCAGGACAAGTCATTGTATCACTACAAGCATCAATTTTTTCACCTGTAAAATGGGAGGAGAGTTTAATGACAAGTGCACAAAGTGGACACAATGGATGTGAGAGTGTTCTGTAAAGGCCAGTGGCAGGGGTCAGAGTGAAGGAGCTATAGAACTAATGTTTTTAAAGGGCCAATCAGTCTCTTTCTTCTAGAATGTAGCAGACAGCAACTTCACCTACTACCAGCCAGAACCTGTCTCTGAGACCTTTGGGTCCAACATGGGCCTCTCTGAGGACTCACAACAGTCCCTACATCCCTCTCTGCCTGGGAATAGGATTTTATCACTCTGTTGCAGGCAGCCCACAGCCTCATTCCTCGAAGGCTGGAGCGAATGTCAGGACAGCAACAAACAGACCCTACCACTACTTTTTCCATGGAAGGTAAGGGAGCAACGGCAAATCACTGGTGGGAACTCAGCTGAGGAGTGTAAACGGGAAAGTGGAGCCTTGAGGAGGAAATGAATTACACTGTGACCTCTCCTCCCAGCACATGACAAAAGATGCCTTCTCTCATGGGCTTCCACACTTGTGCACGCATTCCTGAAGGCCTCATGGAAGTCCACGAGCAAAACCTGCTCCTGGTGGCTTGGGGTCCCCACCCAGCCTCGTGAAAGAGGGCCATTGATCAGATGTGAACAACATGGAGTGGTCGTGGTTTATTAAGAAAATTCCTGAGGTGCTGTGGCCACGGCAGGGGGACCCGCACTAAGGAGGGGGCAGTGTGAGCAGGGGTACATCTCAGGAGGCAGAGGCTGCAGTGGCAGGGGTGGAAAGGGGCCGGGCACACAGGCTCCTCACTGTTTGTACCTTGCCAAGTGGGGATGGGGGACAGAAAACTGGATCCTGGGAGGAGCACAAAGACCCCTCTCAGCCCTCAGCCCAGGGCACAACCATGGCCGCACCCACCTGCCACCTCCAAGCAGCCTGGAAGGAGGAGCTCTGCGCTGGCACTGAGGGAAGCTCAGAGCTGGCCAAGCCCCACCCAGGCCAGGGGACTTCAGGGTCACCCAGCCTCTCTGCGCTCCCCCCCCCCTCAGCTGGGACACAGAGGTGCTCCATCCCTGTGCCCGGAAGCCTCAGCAGCCCACAGGTGACTCCAGGCACTGGGACTGGGCACGCAGGCAGAGCACCCAAGTCCCACTCTCGCCCAGGTATGCCAAGAGCTGTCATCGTCCCTACCAAACACTAGGCAAGGTGTCAGCCCGGTGGAAGGCTGGACCCCAAAGCCATGCAGCAGACCCCAGCCAGAGCCTGCACTGGCTGGTGGGTTCAAGGGGGCCCCAGGTTTGCTGCTATAGGCAGATGGAGCACATATGAACCCCCATTCCCTCAAGGGGGTCTGCCTGGCCCAGGCCCAATCCAAGAGGTAGGTCACCATGGACAGGGCAACTGGTGACGGAGGCATGGACTCCCAGAGTAGGATGTCCACCCCCAGCCACCCCATGGCTGCCTTGCAGTGGAAGGTCACAGTGTGCTGAGGACATGAGCCAAGGCAAGCCCACCCTTACCACTGCCCCTCATCTGGCCCCACGCCCCTCAACAGGAACACACACACACAAGCAGCTGCGGCCACACGGTCACTTTCTCTAGACCCCAACTCTTCCCTTGGCCTGATCCAGGCTCTGCCCGGGATAGGTCTTATTTCCTCACCTAGATAAACAAAGGCAGGACCCTAGTTCCCAAGGCCTTTCTTTCCAGAACATTCTCTGCTCTGTGAGATTCTCTGTGTGTTCCTGAGGATGTGGAGCTTCTGCAGAGCAAGAGGCTAGGAGTGGAGTGAGGATCTCTGAGGAAGGAGGGAGCTAAGAGAAAGGCCAGAAAAAACAGTGGAAGGGAGAGAAAGGAAGGGTGAGAGGAAAGCTGTGGAAGGGAGGGGTGAGGCCAAGTGGGCTCAGAGGCTGGGACCAGTCTCTGCCACAGAATCACCCTCAGCGCACCTGGACCCATGGGCACCCAGAGCCCCTGAGCAGACCTCAGGACCCTGTCCCCTTGCCTGGGAGCCTTGCACATGTCCTTCTGGGGCTGTGGCTTCCACAACAAAACCTGGGAGGGTGAGGAAGAGATGGAGGGCAAAGAAAGGGGGCTCTTCCTCTCTACCACACGCTCCCCCATCAGCCCACATGGCCTGCCCTGCTGCTGCCACCAGACCCCACGCCCAACACATTGGAGGGCTGCTTGGGGAGGGGTAAGGCTCTCATAGTACTGCCCAGAACAGGCCCAGCCCAACCCTGTGACAATGGGTCTTGAGGGCTTAACTATCTGTGTTCAGGCCACTAAGCCCACCTCCAGGCAACCACCCCCTGCTGTCCCTGAAAGGCAGCCCTCAGAAGCCCCAGGAGGCCATCAGAGAGGGGGTGGGATGTGTGGTGAGGTTCAAGGGTCACTTAGCCAAGGGGTTAGGCTCTGCTTGGCTTCAAAGTCCCTGTCCCCTCTCAGAGGCTCTTCTCCAAGAATAGCTCCCCCACACACACACCACCACCATACCCCTCCAAATACACACCCTCTCACTAAATAGTGCTTCGGATCTGATTAGCATCAGCTGGGGTTCCCCATGCCCAAACATATGGTTCAGATAATGTGGTGCCCAGACGCTGTCTGGGTCAGGTACTTGCAAAGATGGGGATGTGGAATGGAGTACCAAGTCACAGCAGCCTGGGTCTCTGCCTTTTTGGAACTCCCACTCCAGTGGGGAGAGGCAAGTGTAGCCTATCCTAATAGAGAATGCCTATCCCAAACGGGTGGGCAGGATCTGATGTCTCTGGATTAACAGACCCCCAGGATTGAGACTCCTGGGTCAGGGGCTAGGGTCTCTAAATCTGGTTTCTAACCTGCTGCTTCTATCACAGAGATGCTTGGTGATCTGGCAGAGAATCTTGCCTTCTCTGGACCCCAGTGTGTGTGTGTGTGTGTGTGGTGTGTATAATCAGAGTCTGATCTAGGATCTCTTGAGTGCCCTTTCAGTAGTTCAGGATCCATTACAAATCTATGGTGAGAAACCCAACCCAGTTTACTATTTCCTCCCTATCATTTGGATAGGATCAATAGAGTGTACCAGGGAAAGTAGCAGGCAGTGCCCAAAGATATAGAAAGCTGCCAACTTTTAGAAAAGCAAAGTTCCAGATACTTTGAGAGATTCCTCTGGGTTCAAAGAGGCCTTGGGATGAAGCTTTTAGGCAATGGGAGTTGACCAAAAAGGTGCTGCAAGGATAACTGGGCTGGTAGTGGTATAGGCACATGAGGTACAGAATGATGTACAAAGGGGTCATTGACAGGGGGATAGGAAGTAGGGAGCTACAGTCTAAATGTTAAGAAGCAAGGATATAGAGTTTGAAAGCAATCAAACAAAACCAGGGGGTTGGATAGAGGGGCAGATAGACAACAGAATGACCAGGGGAAAATACAGGCCGAGAGTCAGACATGTAGCAGGACAGGAAGACAGGCAGAAGCATGAACAAGCAAACGCCAGACACAGAGGCTAAGAAAGTCTTAGCAGAATCAGCAGTAAAGAACGTACTGTTTTCTAAACACCTACTATGGGTTAATAGCCAAAGAGTGTAGGCAGTGGTAGAGACGAAGGGACAAAGCCAGATGGACAGCCAGGATAAGAAGATGGGGCACCTCTGGAACAGAGCAAGAGCTGTCCACGATTAAGAAAGCAGGAGCGCGGGGTGGAAGGCCTGAAAAGAGGGGACTGTCGGCCAGAGGTGCAGTTTGGCAAATGGGCATAGGGCTAATAGAAGAAAACGGGACGGGGACGGAAGCCAGGGAGCCAGTGAGGACCGGCAGCTTCGCGAAGCCAGCGCCGGTAACGCAGCTGCAGGAGCCTCTGGGCGAAGGGCAGCCCAGCCCTGACCGGACCTCCCCGCCTGGGTCTGCAGGGCTCTGTTCACCTGGATTCCAGCGCGGCAGGTCGCATCGGGTGCCCTTCACACCCCGCAGCGTCCACGTCCGGGGTTTCGGGAGCCACAAGGCCGGCCCCCAGCCCCGTGCTCCGGCCATGTGTCCGTGGGTGCCGCACAGCGCTGCGCTGCACCAAGAGGCTCTGGAGCCTGAGAGCGAGCAAGTGTGCTAGTCCAGCACTGGCGCCTTGGGTGGTTGCACCCGGACTGAGCCTCTGGCCAGGGAAGCAGGGAGGGAGCAAGGGAGGAGCTGAGGGAATGAGGGCTGTAGTCTCCCCGCCCCCTCAGTAATGACTAGAAAGTTCCACGCCCCCACCGTGTGCGGAACTCTAGTCTAGCTACGCTAGTCTCAAGTCATCTACTCTGCCACTCTCTCCCTAGTGCCATTAGGCGGGAGTCCCCTCATGGGTTGGAGTCACTTTCTAGCCTTTTCCACCCTGACCTCCTATTTAAAAGGTGTCTCACCACTGATCTCCCTCCTTCCTGCTCTCATACCCCTGTGTCTACCTCCTATATGCCCCAAATCTCACCAACCAGGTGACATGGAAGAAGACTTTGCACTAGATTGGAGAGAGGAATGATGATTCCCACCATCTTGCCAGACTGACACTCCTCAGCCTCCCACACCGTATCTCTCTCTCTCTCTCTCTCTCATATTCTCATTCTCTCTCTCTCTCTCTCTCTCTCTCTCTCTCTCTCTCATATTCTCATTCTCTCTCTCTCTCATATTCTCATTCTCTCATATTCTCATTCTCTCTCTCTCATATTCTCATTCTCTCTCTCTCATATTCTCTCTCTCTCTCTCTCTCTCTCTCTCTCTCTCTCTCTCTCTCTCTCTCTCTCTCTCTCTCTCTCTCATACACACATGCACATGCACAAATGCCCCATTTTCCCGCTGGCTGGCAAGAGCAGTGCAACCAGCTATGTTCCAACAAGAGCACCTTAAAATCCTGCAAGTACCAAGACTGTTCAGGAGTGGAAGCTGTCTTTTATAGACTCTGTTATATTACAAATGGGAAACCTCAGGCTCAAAAATACAAATGACTTGGCCAGCATCTATACAGGGACAGTTATCTCTATGTGACAGGACTGTTGTGAGGATTTGAAGGGCTGAGTTCACAGGGTGCCTGGCACAGAGTACAGGCTCCATAAATAACAATTAACTTTTACTCTTGAAGAGCTCAGTAGTGGGGACCTATCCCCACTGATACACAAACACACACACACCTGGAACTTGGACTCTAAGGTACATAACCCCCCACCCATAGCAAGCAAAATTGTATCACCTGATTTGGAGGTGGTGGAAGGGCCTGACTGATTTCATTTACAAAGCTGAAAGTCACCAGCTTGCAGATCCAGTCATTTCCATTTCATTTCTCTCCAAGGCCAGTATGGGGCCCGAGATTTTCATACTGGCTCTGCAAGAACTGTGGCATAATATGGGCTATGACTCTTCTCTGAGCTTTGTTTGTATTTCTTGTTTGTACCCCTTATCATTTACAAAGCATGTTCAACATTGCCATTGTGTCATGGGTCACAGCCCTTCCCCTCCATCCTCTCCGCCCTGGGTGCCTCTATTCTGAGGGAAGCAGCCTTATGTTTGATCAGTAGTCTAGGAAAAAGGAGAGTGTTCAGTTGATGTGTGCTTATTGGCATGCAATTTGAACCCACTTTTCATAGATTTAGTATCCAAATGGAAGAGAATTAGAAGTTACCATGTCATTCTTCATGCCATCACCCCATTCCCCCAGGTTAGTGCTGGCAATCAATAGGCATTGACAAAATAGTTATCAACTGAATGAATGTACTGTTCTTGTGGGGGCCAGGACATCCCAGAGGCACACACTGAGTTCATTTCAGAATCAAGGCAGAATTCCGACTGCTCCTCCTTTCATTAGGCCACTCTATTTCATGGAATTATTTTTTTGGTTTTCATCAAAAATCAGTGAAATCAGGAATGTGGGGAACTCATTCTTCTCTCCCAGCACCTACTGGCCTCTCAGCAATCACCATACTGGACTAGGTCAGCCAGAGCAAATGACCACCAGGATGCACCCTCTGAGCCCAGCTTGGCACCACTAAGCCTTTGACTTCTGAGTTTCCAGAAGTCTCTTCACTGTCGTTGCCACAGGGGCAAGTTCCAGCCTGAGGAAAAGGAGGCCCCAGCCAGCTTCCTCCCAGCATAGGAGTTTCCCTTCTGCTCTCTGGTTGGGCGTGAGCGTGGGGACACAGCAGCCTAGAAGGAAGGGCGGCAGTAGCCATTTGCTACCCTGCTAAGGCATCTCTGTCTCTGACCAATCCCTCCCCTATTTCCTGAGTTCTAATGCTTCAGCCCTACCCTTAACAATGATACAAGAGGGATCCAAAAATTAACTTGAATCACAGAACCTCCGAGCTGGAAAGAACTGTAGAGGTCATTCACTCCCACAGCCTCCCCACTGCAGGAATGGCCACTGTTGGCAGAGGGGGGCATCTTACCTAACCTCACACAGCTTCAACTTCCTTCTCCATAAAATGGTCAGGATGAAACCTAACTGACAATGTTACTGTGGGGGAGAGAGGCAAGAATGGATTTAATAACAGCTAAAATATATTGAGCACTAACTATGTGCCTGCCATGGCTCTAAGTGTTTTTTTGAGAATTATTTAATGTCAACCACAACCCTCTAAGTAGTTGTATTATTATTATTATCATCATCATCATAACCATCATCGTCTTCATCACCCTCCTTTTACAGAAGGACAAATTGAAGGATGACAAAAGTAATGTAACTTGCTAAGTTCACTCACCTAGTAAGCAGCAAGGACAGAAGTTAAAACCTGAATGTCCATTATCTCCCTCACAATTGTAAGGATCTTCTTTACTCTAAAGAATGATTGGTAGGTCATGAGGGTTCCTGAGCTCAAACTTTTTGCATTGGTGTCATTTTTGTATTCAAATACCCTCAGGGACTGAGGGAGAAGATTGTGAAGCCTTTGGGGGTGGGGGCTGAAGATGTAACCTGAAGCTTTAGCTCCACACAGGGAATGTCTTTGAAGTTCCTGCTCTTATCTTAAATATCTACTTGCATTTTCCAGTTTATATTACACACACACACACACAAATATATATATATATATATATATATATATATATATATATATATATATATTTCTTATACAAATTGGTGTTTTCCTTCTTAAGCCTTTGAGGAAAGTTGACCCCCCAGGAAGATGAGACATATTGGTTCTATGATTCCTATGCCTACAAACTAGTACCTTGCATCCCAGAGGTGCCAGACACGTGGCATAGGACAGGCCCTCAGTCAGTAGGAATAGCTAAAGTTTATGGAGCCTTTATCACATGAGCCAACACTCTAATTTCTACATATGATTTAATCTTTGTGACAAGTTTGGGTGTGATTTTCTCAATGGCACACAGTTTGGACTGTCAGCTTGGGCTAGTAACCTTCATATATACCGCCTCTGAGGCCACGTGGGAGCTCCTCTTACCTTCCTGCCTTCACCACTTCCCACTAGATCTATTGATTTGTTTATTGGCAGCACTGGGCCTTATTCCAATTAGGTTGTCAGCTCCTGAGGGTAGACATTAGTGCCTCTTCCCACACCTCATCAATCCTTGGATCTGAGCCCAGAGCTGGGCAATACACAGGGCTGTTCCTCCATTCATGTTTGGTGACTATTTCCTGGCTGGTGACAGTCTCTTGGTCCTAGCACCTGTTTGCTGATGGATACAGCATTTCACACAGGAGTTCTCTGCCACCACACCCCCCAACACCTACCCCTATTGCAAAAGTCCAGCTTCAAAGGCGGCTTCTCATAACTGAAGGGACAAGGTCATGCTTTTTTTTTTCAGTACTGAGGATCAAACCAAGGGCTTTAGGCATGCTAGGCAAGTGCTCTACCATTGCACTATGTAACCAGCACAAGTCCATACTTCTACGGTGGTATTCAAATGACTGCCCAAGCTCACCCAGCAACTCAGCTGGCATTCCAAAAATACACCAAGCTTCATTAACCCTCCAAATGTGTTACATGTGCTCTTCTCTTTCCCAGAAATTCACATCCTTATTTCCTTTACTTACATCACAATCATATGGTGCTTTCAATGTGCCTGACCACCACTCTAAGCTCTTTGCACATTTCAACTCACAAATTTCTTTTAGAAAATCTGTACAAACTATTATTATTCCATTTTATAGTTGAGAAAACTGAGGCACAAAAAGGTTGAAGTATTTTCCCTATCTCCTATACCTGGAAGAGTCTTATATATCCTTTGAGTAGTTCCTATGAATAGCAAAAGTCATTCCCTTTCTGGATGAGTCCACAGCTCAGCTACACCAGCAGTCCTTCTATATTGAGCTTAGTTATTTATATATCTTCCTGCTCAATAAGAATTTGAAATCTCTGAGAACAGGGACCATATTTTATTATTTATGGCCTATTCATTGCTCAGGAAGGGGTATGACACAGAGTCTGTCCTTAGAGAATATTGATAAAAGGTTTGAACAAATGGGGAGGGAGGGAGGGAGGGAGGGAGAAGCCCTGAAGCAGACTTGACAAAACCAAATAATGGCTGAGAGATTGGGGGGTTTCTTTCCCCCATATCATTACGGTGGAGGTACATAAAAATGAATTGATGACCAAACATGAAATACAATTGCAGGTGAGGCAACGCCCCCTCCCATCCAGCCATTCATGTGGCTGGACCAAACCTGGCACCCTAACCAGAAAGCCATTCTGTCCAGTGAGGCATCTAGTGAGCCATGAAAGGCAATAGTTCTGCAGGCTGCTCTGGAAAACTGAGCTTGCTGGCTTCTCTGTTTCCCCATCAAAGGCCCCATGATTGCTTCTACATTTAGACAGAGTTCATATGGAAAAGATGGAAGGACTTAGATGTCACCCCAGAGAGTTGGGGTTTGTTGCTTTTGGTCTCAAACATTATACTTCAGTGAGTTTTCTCTGTCCTTCCCTTGCTGGCCAAATGTACTTTGTGGAAAAGGAAAGGGGAATTTGGGCATAATTCTGGTTTCAAACCCTGGCTCTGCCATTCAGTAGTTGTGTAACGTTTGGCAAGTTACTGAGCCTCAATTTATTCACCTAAAAAGAAATAGAAAGTTTTGCCAGGCCTGGTGGCACACACCTGTAATCCCAGTTCCTCAGGAGGCTGAGGCAGGAAGATG